AAGGGCCAGTGTGGTATAGCGGATAGTGTTTTGGACTTGATCCACAAAAGCCTTGGTTCAATCTGCTGCTTATCCATGAAACTTCCTGAGTGACTCTGAGCAGTCATTCCCTTTCATTCTAATCTACCTCAATGGCTTGTTGCAAGGATAAAAATGGGATAATCCCTATTCAGGCTGCCCCGATCTCCTTAGAGGAAGAACAGAATAAATGTGACTCAATTAAAAATAGGAACAAGAAGAAATCACACTGTAAGCGAGAGAAGTCCAGCCTGTGGTTCCTTGGTTGCCCGATCTCCAACAGTTGACTGGGCAGTCACATTCATTCTGACACATTTTGTGCTCATCCTCTGGGTCTAGCCGCACAAGCATATCCCAGCAGGCAGGGATGTGTGAGAGGGCTAGGTCATTTAAGTGTGGTGGTGTAGAAGATAACCACAGAGACACGTGCCCACAGCTAGATGTCTAGCAGTTTATTTATATACACATAACTTTATACACAACTGGGGAGCCAAGGGTGCAGGGTGTATGAGTACAGATACTGGTATTTCTCATGCCCAGAAGCTTGACTTGGCCCAACAAAATGGCATTGAAACAGAAAAATATACAAGAGATTTGTAATGTGATGCTGTATCTCTCCCAGACAAGTCAAAAGGGACAGCTGGGAGCCTCTCTCCTCCAGGGTACAACGGTCCTCTCTGATCACAGCAACACTCCTTCCCTTTCAAGCAGTCCTCATAGAGACCATTTTGCGCCTAGACTTTTTGGAGTATAAAAAACAAACATTTTGCTCCTGAGATAAGCATGCAATAATAGTACAAATACAACTAAAGTCTGAACTCAACTAGGATGACTCCTTCCAGACTTAAATGTAAAACAAGCGAAATACATATGCCTGGAACTGATCTCTCACCCCAGCCACCCTCAGAAGTAGTCCATGGAAAACAAAAATTGCCTCTCCCACTAAATCCAAGAGTTCATGTTACAGGCAAGCAATAAAGCAGGTTCCTTGCATTGGTGTAGAGCAGCACATGCCCATGAATTGCACCTCCACATTACATACCAGTAGCAGCAGAGTGTATAGACAGGTGCACTCCAAGGACTCATGGCAAGTTGCTGGTGTTGTTCTCAGTGAGATATTGTCTAGCTAAAGCTCCTTCCCCCAGCAGGTACTATGGTTATTGGCCTTCTAAAACTACGCCATCTAAACTCAGCCCAGCAGGCAGGCAAATGGTCACTGAAATGATTTGGTCCTCTGTGGAGGGACAGGATCTGTACGGGGAAACTAGTTGCAGGCATGTAAGGCAGGACTACAGACATTAAAACTGACAGTCTCTTCACCAGTTTGCAAGAGAAGCCAAGTTCTGTACAGTGCAGAAACAGACACTACAAGTCGAATTGAGACAGCAACACCTCTCCTATGCCACACAGAAGGCCTCCTTTGGAGTCACTGGACTGAACATTATCCCTAGTGCAGCACTCCATCATTCATGGTGTAGTATCTGAACTGGTAGGTGTGACAGATCATGCAGCAGTTCCAGGCTATGAAGGTGCTAGTAAAGAGAAGGTGGCTCCTGTCCCAGCTGAAAGGGCAAAATCAGTTATTAACAAAAAGCACAGTGCAGCAGTAAACTCGAGCAGAGGAGAGGAAGAAAAGTTTAAGGCAGCAGTTGCCACCTCCAATACAAAAGGAACAGAGCCCGCGCTTCTCCTCTGGTGTGCTCTTGAAAACAAGAGTATTTATCTGGCAACACTCTTCCCTGGACCTTATTTGTAAAATAAGGGAACCCCTTCTGGGTTCATACACCAAAGCTAGCAGTTCCTATGTATTGCTAGAGAGATAGCTGGCTATGTATTCCAGAAGGCTGAGAAGCTGATTGATCATCCACATGAAGGCAACAACACAGTACGTGCAAAGTTCTGCTACAGGAATCCACACACCTGGACATAAAGTGTCAGCAAGCTGTAAAGGGCAACAAACAGGCTGTGCTGATCCAGCAGGAACAGACTGGAAGGATTATTTACACAAGCCTCCAAAAGAGGACCCGAATGTATAAATGCATGCGAAATGGCTTTGTTGGGCAGCATTCTCCTTTACGCTCAGGGGCTCTCATTATCCACCCTATAGGCATCTCAGCACAGGGCTGACTATACTCGCCTTCTTCTTCTGAGCTAAGAATTGCACTAACAACTTTGAACAGCCCCCATTAGAGCTACAAGAGCAAGGAGTCAAGTGGCTTTACTTTTAAGTTTGTTGTTCAAAATTAACCAAATGTCATCTTGAGCAAACTTGTTCTTCTGCGAATTGGCTCTAGGTAACATACGAAGCACGGCTTCTAGCTCTATGGCAACATGCCTACAGGCATAAGAAACCTGACAACCATCTTGAAGCATTTTACCTTAGATAATGAGGTAGAACCAAGGAGAGAAGGGCAGATTTCCACAAATGGCAGCCGTCCGGACCCTAAGGAGACTGGCTGCAGCATTAAGAACAAATGGTGCATCCTGACTTAGCAAATTCATTTGTACAACAAAATGCAGCGGGACACAAAACACTATACAACAGCCATAGGATAAGCTAGCTTTGCTTTGGACAGACTGACTATACAACAGCCATAGGATAAGCTAGCGTTGCTTTGGAGTTCCCTTTGTTTCAAGGCAGAAGAGGCCAGGGAGTGTGCTTGCACCTCACTTTTTCAGACTCTGGATATCTTTAGCTCTGGAAACACGCACTATAATAAAGAATGGCAAACTATACTGCCTTCTTGGAAGTTTTAGAAGAATTTTTGGATGGACTGAACCCTGCATGTCACTGCATACATTAATCACATCCCTCACATGTGAAAGGAGCTACTGAAGACAAATACTTTGCTTTCTACCTTATGAACAGTCCCTATTTCAGTTGGTGCATTTTAGAAGACCTGTTCACAGTGCAGAGCTGCTTTCAATCCAAGGCAAATGTCAAGCTGCAGAAACTAATGCTGATGCACACCCAACGGGATGGCTCAGAAGTAACTATCAAGATAAGATCCAGTTGAATTCATTTGCCCTGACAGTATGGTACTTTCCAAGCAAGCCCTGTAGATATTTCTTTATGCAGCTTTGCCAGTATGTCACAATTCCCGCTAATCTAGTACTGACAGGCCGCCTATGCTCATACATCCCCCCCACCCACCCCCCATCACATACACATAACCCATCCACAAAATGTTCTGTAAAAGGCTATGTATGGGTACATGTCTTGCAGGAACTCTAATTATCCATACTGGTTTCATTGGTACTCTGTCTGGTTGAAAGCAAACCACTGATGATAAAAACCAAATCCTTTCAGACGTGCAAGGTACTCAGGTTCAAAGAACAGACAGAACTATGTCCTTTTGCTCACCCTGGAGTTAAAAACAAATGAACTCAGAAGGCTTATTGCTATTGAACAAGACTGTGCTTTGTAGTTATGCTGTCTGAAAATTAACCACAATGCTACAATACTGAAAAACTCACATCCTTTAATATTTTTTGGTTCCTTTATAGAGCTTAAACATATTTATTAGCTTTATAAAAACAAAACCTGACAACAAGGAAAATATGCTATTTACAAGCTCTGGAACTTATGAGAACATTTGAGTGGTCCAGAGGGTTTTTGTTTTTTTTAAGATTATAAAACAAAACAATCACTAGAACAGGAAGGAAACTTCTGTAGCGTGTTTGTCTATATTCTTTTCCTTGTTATTGAAGTGATGGAGGGATTAACAATTCATTACAACCCACACCCTTCATGGCTATCTTGAAGAATGCTGTTCCACTGAAACAATTTATGATGCCTCATACCTAATACGAAGCTTTCAAAAACAAGGCTCGATAGAGTCTAGCAACACTGTGCGGACTTTAGCTTTTCCCTTCAGTTCTGAGAATCAAAAGTAATGCTGGAGAAACAGCACTACCCTGTTCCAAGTGTAAAATATCCCTTATTGTAGTAGCTTCCTCTAGTACCACCAAGATCTTAGACTAGTGCTGAACTGGTTGATACAGAGGTGGTTCTTCCACCAGGCTTAAAGAACACGCAGAATGGGGTTAGCAAAGTTTGCCCCTGCAGACACATGCTGGAACTAACCAAACCCCTATATCAGCAGCAGCTTGATGAAAGTCAAAAATACTTTCAAAAACTGACCTATGAAGGCCATACCACCAAAAAGGGAGGCACAGAATCAGCACACCAATGAGCCTTCTTGTCCTATCTTAAGAGCATCCAGCATAAGACAACTGTCCTCAGTCTTAATACCCTGATATCAGTTCTCTGTGGTAGCGACTCTCTTCCTAACATGCTGCATTTCAAAGAGACCTAGTGCATTTTGTCTATGACAGGGCCATCTCTAGCCAGGAGGGGATGGCTTTTGGGGTCGAAGGGAGGAGCGCTCAGGACTGTCATTGGATTAACATGGGCCACTCCACATAGCAGAACTGTGAACACATATGTGGGGTCAGAATCTGGCCCAGATGCATTTCAGCTAATCACCGATCACAGGAACAAGGCCAGCAAATGCCAACTCCCTGAGGCAAAAGTCAAGCACAGGTGGCAGCACATTCAGCTGTGACACCACTGTTCAAAGCCAGGTAGATACTTCCCTCCAAAATGGAGTCAATGGCTGAAAATGCAGATGCCTACTTTTATTTTTCATCACACAACTTCTGTGGTTGGAACATGTGTAGAAGGGTACAGTTCACAAGAAAATCTGCTTGGGAAAGGGGGGGGGACACTGCAATTTCTGTACTGAAGTGCTTGGATGTGAATGAGGTTGGCAAATACATCATTGGAGCAACAAAATGTAAAAGGGTGGGATGGAGAAAGTGACCTGAATTCGTCCCAGAAAAATGGCCAGGGACCAGATTAAATGTGCTCTTGATACTATCCTTACTAGCTCAACTCTCCCAT